AGCCTCAGTAGTTTAGACCACAGCGCCACCCTCGTCCGGTACTCCACCTCATACAGGTGAAATAAGAGGACTTTGCTTAAGTGCAAGAGGGCGTGTTTTTACATACCAGAGATAATGAGATTAGTAGAAAGTTTTCACAAGCTAGGGTATTTCTTTTTGAGGGTATGGTGTAGTGTGAATTAACTCAAGGGGTAAAGTACTTGCATACAATGACAGTGGATTCTAGGTTGACCTTATCTAATTCCCTTTTTCTCCATGCTGTGGATCTGTCCCCATCCGTTCACTCAGACCAACTGAGGTAAATAATAACAATAACAATAACAACAACAACAACAACAATAATTTATTTCTACCCCGCCCATCTGATAGGCATTCCTTCTGCAAATATTTCATCATTGCATTTGCATTGCAAATATTTCATCATTGCATTTGCCTTGCAAATATTTCATCATTGCATACTTTTACAACAGAAAGAGTGGGGCATATTTGTGATCAGATCAGTAAAGGAGAGACAGGTGGTGGCGCAGCCAAGCAGAGCCCATGGACCAAGTATAACATGGCTGGCACTGCCATGTTAATGATACCAGGCAGGACTTACACACCATGAGGACCTAGAGCCCCCATCAGCACTAGCACTACCCAACAAGGCCTCATCAGCTGTAGTAACGCCACTGACAGGCCAATGGCAACAGCAGTGGGCCCTGAAATTTGTCCCACCATTTGCCTGTGTGTGTGATTCAATGTTCCCTGAGCAGTGGAGTCTCTATTGTTCAGAAGGTTCTAATGCTCACTTTTAAAGTCTTGAATGGATTGGAATAAAGTCACTAGATAATATCTTGCCTCCACATCAACATACCTGTATATTCAGACTGTCTCCTCTAGGTGACCCCACCATTTGAGGAGAGGCAGGTAGGAAGAACAGCAAGGGCCTTCTTAGCGGTAGACTACTCTTTCCAGAAAATATCACCTAGTACCTACTTAGTTATCACAGTCATAATAAACCTTTTTATTGTCCCAGGCCTTTTAATAACTTCTTAATCTGGATGGAATTAGATTTATGCAGCTTTTATGTTTTGTTATGTTATTTATGTTTTGACTGTTGCTGTTCTTTTTTAAAATTACAAGCCATCCTTTCTATTGAATGTAATTTGGTTGTGTGTGTGTGTGTGTGTGTGTGTGTGTGTGTGTAAAGTTGCTCTGTTAACCTTAATAAATCCCTTAATAAATTTATTAGACAAACCCCACAAAGATATGTTCTATGTTTGAACGTATAGCTTACAATCATCAATCTAGTTTGAATACCGATTATTACATATGGATTTCCTATATTAATTTACATGCTTAAGTCAAGATCATATGAGTGTTTTTCTTGTTAATGTTAACTGACAATGTTTCTTTTTATGTTTTAGTTTTAGAAATAAAATTAATTTAACCCGTCAACACATATTTCTTAGAAAAGAGTATTGACTTTGCAATGCTTGCAACTGCAATACTCAAACATGTGAAATTGGCTCAAGTTGCAATTAGAGCACTCAGCCGGTAAGAAACAGCAGGACCTCTGCTTAATTTCTCCCAGAGAGTCTACAACCTGAAACATTTTTATTTAGAGAATCACTCATAAAACAGTCACACAATATTGGCTGTTTAAGCAGGTGAAATACTTTTAACTCAGTAAGACTTACTTTGGAATAGATGTGACTAGAATTCAGCCAACATATCTGATCATGCTAGCTTTATATCTATATTATTATTGGTTAAAAAGCAAGCCATAAGTATATTCCGTTTACAAATGCTTAAAAACCCCAATCAACCACTTGAAAATGGAATAATTTTGTAGATTCTTGCTTTGTAGATTTACCTTGCAGCAGGCCACCATTTTGCTATCAAAACACCAATGCATATTTGAGAGGAAATGGCTCATAACATTTTCTTTGCCATGGCCTCATCATCTTCTCCAGAACGTCTATAATGATATAAGGTCTAAGACAGGAGTAGTCAGTGTGCTGTCCTCCAGATGTTGTGGGACAACATTTCCCACCAGCCACCACCAAAATGGCTGATGGTCATCACATTAGCTGCTAAGAGGTTTTCATACATGCCATTTAAAATCTTTGTTGTCTCTGTTTGTAGTGTGAATGTGAAACTTATTCTGTTCTGGTATATTTAACAGTAAAAGGGCCTTGTCTGTTTTCTATCCAAAGCTAACTTTTATTTGCAGATGCGGATGTGTGATATGAGAAAGGTTTGAAGATACTTTCAGGGTCAAGTGAAGGTACCCAAATATATTCAAGGCTGGCTCAAGATAGTTTGCTACCTGAGCTGGAATAGCAAATGGTACTTCCAAACAACAAACCAAACCAAACCAAAACAAATTTGGGTGCATAGGACCCAAGATTGATCAAATTATTTTGCCACCTAAGGCAGAAAATCCCACAAGCACTTCTTGCCCTCTCTTACAGTAAAAATACAACATAATTAAATATCTAACAATTTGCTGCCCTTCCATGAAACCCAAAATCATCTGTTTGGGGCGCAGCGACCTCCTTGTGCTTAATGGCAGAGCCACATATACCAACCCTCAACTGCTAAAACTCATCTGACTCCCACTCCAGTCATTACAAAATAGGCTCTTAATTGAGAGCAACATGAGATCTTTACTGAGGCAATGTAGCTCAGCAACAGTTAGTGGGTCACAGCAGCCTTTAGGCTCAGGCTAGATGACAGGAAAGTCAAGACTATCTGGGCTAGAACCAGCAGTTCAAGTTTATGGAGACTGGGGCAAGGAGTTCAGAACTGTGCTGAAGCAACAGAGTTGTCCTAACGGGTTGGCCCACCTGCCCACCAAGCTTTTAAAGACAGGCAAGGCAAGCTTACTTGCAAGACTCTTGTGCCTTGCAAGATTGCTGAGCATGTAGATACTCACTACATCAGGGAGGATGAATCTGTCCCCAGCAATGGGAGTATTGCTGGTGACCAGACTTGGTGCCTGCTGTCCTTGTTAAGTTGTGGGTGAACATATCAGGCGACACAGCAATTCTTCAAACAGCTCTTGTTTATTCACAGGCCAGAACAGAACTGAACTGAAGGGTTCTGCCAGCCTGCTTATATAGAGCTCCACTACAACGCAACTGTAACCATTTTATGTAACTATCCAATCACTGAACGTCACTTTCAATCCCCTATTTGCATATGTGGACCTGAGTGAAAACTATCTACAGTATCCCCCTGCTGGCTCAGAGTGAGAATTTCAGTACATAACAGTCCTGATTCTGCTTCCTCCACCCCTAGCGGTTGAATGATCCCCTATCCTGGATTCTACTGCTTCCCTCTCTGGGAACGAAGAGGGGAAATTGGAGTCCTGCTTTCCCATCCAGAGCATCCGTATCCTGGGAGTAGTACCTGCCTCCTCCAGCCTTTATTTCCCTGCCTCAGCTCACCACCATGTCATCCCCTTGTTCCCCCACCTCATGTGTCTCAGCCTGCCACTCCACTTGGCAACGTCTCAGGGCTCACGACAAAAAACAAACTTAAGGGATTTGCTATGGTTGAGAAGGATTAGAAGAAGTTTGCCAGTACCTTTCCCCACAGATCTGTATCACAGATGTTTCCTGTAGACACCAAAATTGAGTACTCTCTTACAAAAGACCAAACTTAAATATTGCTCAAGAGCAGTTTCATTAAAAACCAGAAATAGCTTCACCAAAAAGCTGTTTATGTTAAAAGAATGGAGACAGCATAAAAGAGAGGAGGAAATTGACTGCTCGGGGTCCTAGTACAATTACTGAATGCTGCTGATTTCATAGTATGCAAAAAATTTTAGCTCAAATTTTGATGGAGGTTTTATTTAAATCATGTTTTATTGGAGGCATCTTGCAATTGTCATGTTTTAAGCAGCATTTTGTTAACTAGCCTGGGATCCTGCTTGGACAAATGGTGGTTTAAAAAGTGAAACAAACAAACAAACAAACAAACAAACAAACAAACAAACAAACAAATAAATGGGTCTTTGCCTGTACAATTTCCCCAGAGTTATATGCATCCAATTTCTTTTGTTGCCCAGTGGGCCTGGGGCACTGTCCAAGAGCAAAAATGATGATATGTCTCTGTCTTCCTTTAAATCCCTCCTCACACCGTATCTTTTCAGCGAAACCCTATTTTTACAGTGGCCAAGGCATGTAAGCTGGGAGCTAAGCATTCTTCCCTCATGGCCTGTGATTTTCTGACTTCTTCTCCTTTATATTATTTTTTGCTCCTGTGTCTCTTTCCCTTCTCTCTCATATTCTCCCACTGTCCAGATTGTCAGCTCCATGGGGCAGGGAGCTGTCTCTTTTGTTTATAGCTTTTTACAGGCGTATATGTAAACGCGGGTGGCGCTGTGGTCTAAACCACGGAGCCTAGGGCTTGCCGATTGGAAGGTCGGTGGTTCGAATTCCCGTGACGGGGTGAGCTCCTGTTGTTTGGTCCCGGCTCCTGCCCACCTAGCAGTTCGAAAGCATGTCAAAGTACAAGTAGATAAATAGGTACCACTCTGGCGGGAAGGTAAACAGCGTTTCCGTGCACTGCTCTGGTTCACCAGAAGTGGCTTAGTCATGCTGGCCACATGACCCAGAAGCTGTCCGCAAACGCCAGCTCCCTTGACCTATAGAATGAGATGAGCGCGCAACCCCAGAGTCGTCTGCAACTGTACCTAATGGTCAGGGGTACCTTTACCTTTACATGTTTGTAGGCCAAGGGCAAAGCCTCTGCCCACATGCAGCATGTTAACTGAGTATGATTTGAAATGGTTGGACAGTGTTTATGGAAGATACCATGTTAAAATAGGGTTGCCATATGTCTGGAATTTCCTGGACATAGCTGGGATTTGGTTGTCAGAAGCAGTGCCCGGGTGGAAATTGCTGAAATGTCTGAGAAATATGTACAGAATATAAAATCCAGAACAAAAAAGACCAATCTAAAATAACATGGTGAACAGATTGAAGGAGGAAAAGTGCTTTTTATTTTTTTATGCATATGTTTATATATCCCCCAGCTACAGAAAAGTTCATTGGAATGAAATAGAAGAAAGCTTCAAGCAAGTGAAAACGAACCCTCACAAATATTTCTTGCAAATCTTTTCACCTTTGACACCGAGAAGAATTATATTTGTTGAGTCTTGAACACGCAGGCTTAGGGTCACTAAGTCACAGAGTCAGCAACGGGGTGCTATTTTATTACATTTCTGCAGGATATAACAGCATGCCTGCCAGCATAAGGGGGAAGGGTGCAAAAGTGCAACATCTGAACTTGAAATTCACCCAGTTCTGTTGTTTTTGAACATTTACTCTATTAAGACATTAGAAGTCAGTTTCATAGTAAAAAAAAGTAAGCCAGCACCATCTAGTGTTGAATAGAAATAAAAAACTGCAGTGTAATACAGTATTTAGATTTTGAGTTAAGAACTGCTGGGCAAATTTTATATCCTATGTTAGCTTTGTTGTAACTCCATCAGCATCTTAGAATGGATAATAGGCTATGCATATATTTAATACTGAATAAGGCAGAATGAAATGTGCACAGTGATTAATAGTGTTTGAAAATGAAATGTGTATTGTAGAGTGATAATTTATTGCCCTTTCTCCTGAATTGTGGGTGGGTGGGAACAATGACTGAAATATGCAATTTTAAAAATGAACCAATAAATGTGTTGCTGTGCTGTGCTTAAGGTCATATCCTGCACTTAAGGAGAAAGGTCCATTTACTCCATACATATACCCACAATCTGTACATGTTCAAAGGTCTGTCACATTCCATGCACATGCAAAGGTTTCTGTCAAGACATTTCTTTTCCCTAGGAAGACGCCATGCCCAAAACCATGCCCTACATGCTACCAGTTTTACTGATAAAGTGATGTGTTGTCATCCTGGTATATTATACAGTACATGACTCTTCTATAATCTTTATACCAAAGTCAGTTCTGCTTTTTTCAGTTCCTCCTCTGTTAGAGGCTTGATGGTGTGAAGGAATTCCATAAAGTTTAGTATAATTCCTCTATCAAATGGATTGAAGAACTTCCCCTGATGGTCCAGGAGATATGCATACTTTGTTGTTTTGAAACATTCTGCAGTAGTTAAGTTGACTGCCGCCATATAAACCTTTAGAAGTGAAACACATAGAGTTGACTTTCAGTTTTACATATAAACTGTTTGCACTGCTGCTGTTGCAGCAGAGGACACCGTACTGCAACTAAGATTCATTACACTACAAGCTGACCAGCTGAACTTTGTGAAATAATTCATCATTATAATAAATGTCTGACATGTATGTAACACCTGCAATTAAACTGTGGAGACCAGAGGCAATAGACTCTTGGGTGTTTTGGTGTAATGGAGAAAGGATAGCAGCTGAAGAATTTGAGTTTACCAACACATATAACAGCTGTTAGTTTACTGCCAATAAGAGTCCTTGACAGAAAGGTTGTGTCTACACCAAGAAACAATATAGATTATTTCAATGGTCACTGAACTGAGAAAGCAGAGCAAAGCTATACTTGAATATGGACTAGGGTAAATGTCCCAGGAATAGATACAGGGACAATCTGACAAGTTCTGCAGAAGCCAGTTTGGGACACTAGAAAAACAGTAAATCATCTATCAAAAGTAGACAAGCGAGAGTGTCAGGCAGGATCACGATACCAGCCAAAGCTCTAAATTCAGTTCACAGGAAACTATGGTCTAACCCAGCAGTGGGAAACCTGTGGCTGGTAGTGGATGGCACTTACCTGACTTTCTTCCAGCTGAGTCACTGCTGCACACTGGAACAGAGAAGGGGGAAGAGGGAAGGGGGTGGGGACGGCGAGGCCAACACACTGCAAACATGGTGGTAGGACCACCAGATTGACTGCTGGTGTGCTTCTCTGGCCAACCTCACCACTCTGTTGCCTCTCCACCCTGGTATACAGCAGCAACTTGGGCAGAGGGAGGTCACATAAGCAGTATTGCTCTCCCTCTGTGCAGTCTACTACTACTTGTGGCCCTCCAGATGCTGTTGGACTCCCAAATCCCATCAGCTCCAGCCAGCATGGTTAATGGTCAGGAATGGTGGGAGTTGTATTTCAGCAGTAGCTGGAGGGCCACAGAATCCCCATTCCTAGTCTAGTCTGTTGGAATCATCTTTACATTCCCGTGCTTATGACTGTGGGTGATGTATTCAAACATAAACAAAATGTATTTGTCCTTTTCCTGTTGGTATAGTAGCAGCCCAAGACCAAGTTGCTTATCATACTGGGCAGCAGGATACAAATCTAGAAGGTCTTGGTTTTATCTCTGCTAACTCTACCATCAGTTTTGTGACCGGCTGTTTGGAGAAAGGCCAGCAGTGGTTAGTGACTATTTGGACTGGCAGGAAGACCAACAGCATGTGGTGCCAGAGCCAATGACAGCCAGAACCATCTAATTCTAGTTTTGTCCCCATCCTCCTCCCTCTGCAGTTCTACAAGAGCAGACTCTTTTCCAGGGACAGTTCCAGGTTTAAAGAAGGCATCCTGGTTTCTGACTTGATCTTGGAATGTCCCGCTTTCCTTAGGATGTCCCTATTTTCATCGGAAAAATGTGGGAGGGGATGGAGTTATGTGACCCCCTGAGCCAAGGAGATAAGTAACTATACAGTCTTTAGAATACATCTCAAGGCAACCCTGTGTAGGGAATGTTGGAAGATGCCCAGAATGTTTGGGGAAGCCCAGTCAGATGGACAGGGTATAAATAAAAATTATTGTTGTTATGGTGATGATGATGATGAAATAGGATATCCCTATTTTCATCAGAGAACTGTTGGAGGGTATGCAAGAGCAGCACTGAAACTAAGGAGGAGGCCACTGTCAGGCAGCGCCACAAACCTGGGCTGGGTGGAAGTAAGAAAAGCAGGCTGGTCAAGGGCAGACTGAGTCTCATTATTCTTTTTATGAGAGTTCATCCCACAATATCAGACTGTCCTGTCATTGGGTAGTAGAAACTCCCAAACAGAAATAATACAAGCATACAATTTAATCATTTCTGTTGCCAGCTGTAGTATTTATGCAGGTGGTATATCAAAACATAAATTATTCTTCAGTACATGTTACAAAGTTAATATCTGCTTATATGCAGATACCAGAACAGTAAAAGAGAATGGATACAACTTACTCCCTTGCAAATTAAATGTATTTCCCATCAAGCATGCTATTGTTTTGTTTTCAGTATGATCCCACTTGAAATCAGCCAGTCGAAAATAGTGCAGTTACTTAGCATCCTATTTGTGTAAACCTTCTTTTTCTCTCTGGCTTTCAATAAAGAGACACTAGAGGGCATTAACAGTTCTATCTAAACTGAGCTGCTGTTCCTACTCTACAGTACTATATATAACACACATTAACCTCATCTGGTTTTTCGTAACTTATTGCTCTCCCTCTTTTAGATGACAGTCTTTCTAACATCAGCATCCTGTGTGAATGGTTGAGGGAGAGAAGATTGCCCTTTATGTAACAAAGCTGGTGAGCTTTAATATGCAACTCCAGCATTTAAATACTATGAAATACTAAATACTTGCCTCAGGCAGAATGCAGAAACCCGAAAGCAGGAGATCTAGACCACTTGGGCCTCCAGATGTCCCTGGGCTACAACTCTCATCATTCCTGACTACTGACCATGCTGTCTGTGACATGTTTCAGGTTCACACAGTCTTTTCCCTTTGACTTGTCAATATGCAGTCTGGGATAAGCACGAGTGCTGTCTTACCACTCAGAGAGTCAGTGCCTTTGCTTCATTTTGACTATGTGGGAAAATCCTACCCTTGCCATCTCTGAGGGCAGCAGTGGCTACCCAGCGGCTCATAGCTGGCCCCTGAAGACCCCCCCCCCAATTTGTCATTAAAAAGCAAACATTTCTGCTCCTATGAGTCCTCTACTTCGATGCCGTGATGACGAAAGGTGACCCCTTAAAAAGTTGCCATTTTTTACCTTATTTTAAAAAATCCTTTTAATAAAAACCACTGACTGATCCCATAGCTACCTGTGGTGCCAAAAGCCATTTTTGTGACCTCCCCAAAGCCTGCTATTAAAAAAATATGCATTCAAGACGATACATACACACAGTGAAGTCATCATTGCTGATGTTGTGGCAATGACGGAAAGAAAGAGAAATCCGATCCCGATGAAAATACTACGTCCCATTACATTAAACCAATTCCAGCATAGATATATTCCAACCACAGAGTTCAGACACATAGTAGTGAGGAATCCTACAAAATAGGGCCTAGAATGAAGCAAAACAGAAACAAAGCAATGCTTCTAATACATAAAAAGCTAACAAAGCCTTTGCAAAGTTCAGTCAGTATCTAGAACAACCACTCTCATATGCAGCTGAGGTGGTGATTTAATTCATAAGACCATAGGATGAGGCCAATGGCCCATCTAATCCAGCATCTTATTCTCACAGTGGCCAACCAGATGTCCGTGGGCAGCCTGGAAGCAGAAGCTAACCAAAACTGCACTCCCTTTACAGTACTCTTTACTGGAGGTACTGATTACTCTGTGAGTTTAGTCCTTGGCTCCTGCTGTGTCACCACTTTTTTTAAATGAAGTCAGATCACATTAAAAACAAAATCTGTCAGAAAAGAACCTCAAATGGTAGCAGAGTGTGCTCAAGGTCACCTTTCATAAATATGCCCTTAAAAGATGATGTGGGGAAATAACTGTGGTAGTGCCTTCTATGAGCACCTTATCTCTGAGGAAATGTCTCCTGTGTGACTTGGATGCATATATGATTAAAAATGAACATCAAAGCAAGCAGTTGATAATATAGGCCATCAACTGGCCTTCAGTGGGTTTTACATGAGCTTAATTGTCATGTCTTATTCACTAAATACCTGGTCTTGGATATCTAAGTATGGCATTGACCATTTTCTCCTTTACAGAAAATCAATTCCCCCATTGTTTCATGGGGTGGAGGAAGGAGCCATGACCATTTTCTCAGTTTAAATCTGTTTTGTGTACCACATTTTTGGCTTTGCCAAATAAATAAGTTTATGACTTATTTATCAATTAATTAATTAAATATATATCTCATACCCTGCTCCAAAGGAGTCAAGGGCAGCACACATTTCAATACTAAAATAACACAATTAAAAATTCTAAAAAACAGTTAAGAACAACTTTCTAAAAACCAGTTTAAAACTCCTGAAAGCAATAATCTACCATTAAACTAATACAGTAATTGCAATGGTACCAGGGACAGAACTTTCAACCATCAAAACTTTACAATTTTTCTAGGTATCAAAAAGTATTTTTTTAAACTATTTTTTTCCTTAAAAGGTTTATAAGGAGGGAGGCTGATGCAGCTCACTAGAAAGGGCATTTCACAAATGGGGAGCCACTACTGAGATGGCCCTGACACAAGTCACCACCAGCTGGGTATACCCCAAGTAGGGTGACACCAACAGGGTCCACCTGCTGATTGTAGGGCCACAGACGGCTGATAGATACAGTGGTGATCCAAAGACTTATTGTGTCACATGTTAATGTTTCTGATGAGAGATATCAACAGTGCAACATCTGACGGTGTTGTGAAAAGGGGGGGGAGAACGCTTAGTTACTAACGACTTATAAAGTAGACGAGCAAAAATATCTTGAACAATCTTTCCCAAACCTGTTCCCCTCCAGCTGTTGTGGGTCACAACTGCCATCACCTCGCTGGCAATGCTGGCTGGAACTGATGACACATCTGAAAGCTAATGGGTTGCGGAAGGCTATCTTAAATGCTACAGGAAAAATCTCTTTTGCACATCTGTACCTGTTCCTGTATCCCACGCTGTTGTAGATAAAAGGACAATAATGATCAAAGCCAGACACACAACGATTGATGATACGACAATGTTTAGCTCGAAGAGGTTTCACAAGGTGGCACTCATGACATAGTCTAGGCAACAGGATTTTGCCCTCTTCCCAGTAATTAAGATAATCCACCTTAGAAAGAAGAAGACATCCAGGATGGAATCTAAAATGCAATGGCAGAATCTAAGAACCAACTAACCTTAATGCTTTTGTAAATGTGCTTTGGACAATAGCATCATTTCAGACAACCAGGTGATTCAGCTGCTGTTCATGCTTTATGTTCTAATCGAAGGTGGACTTGCGTGAGTTTACCCATCTCCAGGGCACATGCATCAGCAAAACGTGCAACTTCTCCCTATCAAAGCAGGAAGCATGTAGAACAGTGGTTCTCAAAGGGTGTGGTGCACCACACAGGTGTGACAGGCGAGGATGGCAAGTGTGGCAGAAAGGCTCAATCCATATAATATTTTGGGAACGGTTCATATTCATATGTAGCTGCATTTTTTTATACTATTGGGATGTCCCATGATCATATTATAAAACATGACTTCTTAGATAGTGGAAAACAAAATCAGTCACCAAAACAGCACAATTCTATACTTGTCTACTCAGAAGTTAAGTCCATGGGACTTTCTCCCAGATATGTGTGCAGAAGCGCTGAAGCCTTTCTTTGCTAGCTGCCGGCATTAATTGAATTTTCTTATCTTCAACATTTAGGCATATATAAAAAATGATGACAAAAGAAGGATGCTTTCAATTCAGCAACAGCATTTTTTAAATCCCAGAGGTGATTATTGCCAAAGAGAATTATTACTAATGTGTGAGAGATGGTTGCATATGCAAAGGTGTACAAGAGAAATACCTGTCTGATGGCCTGGTAATATTCATCAGTGTGTTGAGGAAGCAAACCTGGGTTCATCATGGAAGCTTTTAAGAAGAGGAACCACATCAGAGCATTCCCAAGGAGGAAGGTAGCATGGGCATTCCACAGGGTATTAAGAGATAACGGCATAATCTGTGCAATGAAAATAGACAAATGTCTTAACACTTTGATACACAAAACTAATCTGACACACTGGCACGCAAACTGAAACATCATGCGAATCATTGTACAAAAGCATCAGTCATATACTTGACCTCTGGCTGCCTAGGTATGTATACGGTTCACATGAAATCTCTCTCTTTCCCCAACCTCTCTGTTATCTATGCTATCTATCCCACTCTTCTAGTGTCCATGTACTACTCAAGGTGGCTTTCAACAGTTAGGGACTGACAAATCCATAACTGGGGATACAGAAACGAGAATTGAATGGAACTGGAGGGGCAGTTCTTGAGAGATTTCTCAATGTGAGAGGTGAAAGAGACACAGAATATTATAGGCAAGCAGTATAAGGAAGCAGAAGGAGGAGGAGAAGAGGAGGAGTTTGGATTTGATGTCCTGCTTTTTCACTATCTGAAGGAGTCTCAAAGGGGCTAACATTCTCCTTTCCCTTCCTCCCCCACAACAAACACTCTGTGAGGTGAGTGGGGCTGAGAGAAAGAAGTGTGACTAGCCCAAGGTCACCCACCCAGCAGCTGGGTGGAACGGGGACGCAAACCCGGTTCACCAGATTAAGAGTCTACCGCTCTTAACCACTACACCACACTGGAGGAGCTAACAGTAGGCAAGCTTATTGAGAAGAGATAACACAAGGAGAAGTGTAAGAAGGGAAGCCAACTTGGTGTGACCAAGTTTCAGGTTTCTGTGGGCCACAGGCAAGAAACCTGCTGTGGGTTTTCCAAATACACGCATGACTCTCTCCCTCAGAGACACAGAACCTGGTCTGCTCCCCACCAAGCTTCTTGTGGTTGAAAGCTGTAAGAAGTGCTACTGCATATCTGGCAGTCTTGCCTGGTCTTGCTCACTTTTTCCCAGGCCTCCTTGCCCTTGCCCATGCAGGTGGCAGGGAGCAGCAGCAGACTGGGAGGACTCGTGGCTTCTGTTGGGGCAGCTGCTGCATAGTTCACACTGCACGTCCTCCCCGCTAGGGGTAAGAACAGTGATGGGACTGATATTAAGGGCAGCAACTGAAATACCACCACCATTCCTGTGTCACCAGGCTTCAGAGAAATAAGCAGTGTGAGGGTTTGAGGGCATGAGGTAACTTGCACCTGATTTATATTGGCTGCCTGTTGGCTTCTGGGGCAACTAATAAATCGTTGTTGTTGTTGTTGTTGTTAAATGATGGAGCTTTGTGTCTAAACATATGCAGATGGCCTAACAAAGATGGAGGTGCTTGGAGTGGTGCTTTGCAATGGGCCTTTTGCTAGGTCAAAGAATCCAGCAGCTGCTCAACTATGCCAACTCCTGACATTGGGCTTGTAGATAGGAGATACAGACACCCTCAAAATGAGGGCTTAGTCTAACACATCAGTTTTCCAAATGACAAAGTGACAATTTATATGGTATGGAATTGCATATTTTCCTGCATTGAAGGGGTTGGACTACATGATCCCCAGGGTCCCTTCCGACTCTATGGTTCTATGATTCTATGTGTGAGCTGTTTACATGTAGATTTTCCATTAAAGTCTTTAGGAAGGAACCATATGGGTTGGGCAAATTATATATTTCCTTGCCAGGTCAGTATTGTCCACTGATAAGTAATCCATCTGTTCCACGTTGTTCCTTCTACAGATATTGCCACAGCAACATGAGGTCCAGACACAAGGAACTGGCTCCCATGTTTCTACATGAATCATTGCTTAGGCATCATTACAAACTGAGTGTAAAAGCATCTTGGGATTTCAAATAATGTTAATCAGGCAATTGCTTAGTTGAGAGGAGAAGTGGAGATCTTTAAACAGTAAGGACCAGAAGTGTGGCCATGCCAGGAAGTCAGTTTAATTATACATAGCCACAATAATGAGCTATGGAGATGCATAACGTGAATGGCAGTGAAGGGAAAGGTGTCTTGCAGAGACGTTTTGAATCATTAGGCAGAGAAACCACTGTAGGAGGAGAAGCAAACAAAGGGGAGATTACTGTTGAATTCCTGCTTTTCTTTTTTCCCTTGCCTTGGATAGAAAATGTTTTAAAACTTCACTTCTCATGAAAATATGATTATTTCATTTTGTAAATGTAAGTATCAAAGCCTAGAGGTTGTAAAAGCCTCTCTGAAAATCGATCCTGTGACAACTGTAGTCATCTATTCACTTAAATGCAAAGATATTCCCCTTTCTCATTTCATGAAATATAATAAAGTGAAAGATGCTAATAAATTACAGCTAAGTACTGTTCTAGAATATATTTCTGATCTTTGTTTTCAATTTAGCTTGGCAATTTTGCTCCGCATAGATAAAATACTACCATTTGTTCCATAATGCTCCCGCCAGCTGACTGAAGAATTATGCTCAGATTAAGGAATTAAAGATGCAATCCTGATCCAATGATCCAATGAAGTCAATGACAGAAGTGCCTTTGACTTAAACTGAGCCAAGGATTGCACACTAAAGCTTTGGGAAAAGTTCCAGCCAGCTCCCTCCCATAAAAAGAGCAACAGGGAATATAAACAGAGTAATGTATTATATTTGTACTGTATTGTATAGATTAAAGTCCAGAAAATGCAGATACCTTCTCAGGTCAGTGAGATACAGATATCCATATGATATGGCATGTCTATCATTTATTTAAATAAAAGCATATTAATGGAATGCAACAGTTTGATATCACGCTAGATAACAAGTACCATAAACTTTCTAATATTGGCTGCATTTCATGGAGTCAGTTGAGATAAACTCTTTTCAGGATTTCTTTTTTGTCTGTTCCTTTCTTCTCTGTAAACCAAGGGGAATTGCCTAGAATCTGGGATCTTGGCCAAGTAATAATAGACATATATTGGCTTGAAATAACCATTTGTACATTATTATTCAGCATTGATGTGATGCACACCATGAATCAACTGCATCATTATCATACTGTTAAGAGCAGTTGCTTGGATGTAATTCCACAGAAATTTGTTCTTAATAACAGTTTCAGGATCAGAGTGTAATGGTATATCAATTCTTACCTTTATTTTCCAGAAATACTGGTAGCCCTGGATTATATCGGTACCAATTTATCTTCTTCCAACTCCATATTACAATGATATTTTATATAATCTAGGTTGGCAAGGTGTCCTATTTTACAGAGGCTAGTCCTCTGTTTGTGGTGCTGCCAAATCCAAGTTCAGTTTAAAGAAAGAAACATAAAAAGGAGAGCCAGGGGAGGGGGCTTGTAGTTGTCCATCAGCAGTTAGAAGCTGGGCAGCAGACTGATCAAGGTCGCCTGATCACAATATTCACAATATTCCCATTTATAGTGAGATGCATTCCATTTAACTTACAGCAATTATTTCTAAATTTGCATCTATACATAAAAAGTGTCATTTGCATAAGATGTGCGTATCTGTGCCCTCTTTCGTCTTGATGTATTATGTGTGTGATGCATTTCCTCTTTTTTGGCTATGTGTAAGTGGCCATCCTAATGCAATTCTTAGCATGCTACTACTAATATATTTCTCCAGTCTGAAAGCAGGAGGTCAACGGCATTACCAAAATAGTTTGCTGCATCATGAGATATAAGAATAAGCCTTTGCAGGATTGAATTCTAATTCTGATTCAACAAATTATATATCTATATCTTTATCTATATCCATAGCTATATAATGATTAGAGTCTTTATTTTACTACCTTTCTTGCAAGGAAAATTCAGTCCCGTAAATAGAGAGCATTGGTGTATGTGGGGCTAATTGCCATATGAGACCAAGGCTTTCATGGAAAGCAACTCTTTTCCTTTTCACTATTATTCTATACAACGGGCACAAGGAAGAGCCATATTTTGAACAAGACCATGATTGCCTTACCCAAAACAGGTAAGTTGGGTAACCCCACAGAAATGTGCAACTGTAAAAGAAAAGGATGGCCACCTTTGATTCACCAGGAGAGCTAAACTTCCATGATCTGAAAATAAAACACAATGACAAATATGATAATGGTCACAGTATCTCAATCACATAGCAATAGTGTTGTGTCTAATGCTGCTGTTACACAAGCAGAAAGCTCTAGTATAAATAAAGCCTGGAACCTTAACACCCATCACTGAAAACCTTAGTAAGACATCCTTATGGATCCTGAGACTGCAACACAAACTTTCATGCATATCGTCAATGCCTTAAGAACTAGAAACTTTTTTTTTAAAAAAAGAAAAATGGCACTAATGAAGTATTTCCTCCTGATGACATAACAGTGAGGTGTGGTAAGGTGGGGAGGTTTAAACTCTTCTGTCATGACTCAGAGACCATGCGCTGTGCAATGGACTCAGAGGAGGATGACCTTCAATGGGGGAAGAGCTGCCAGGACCATCTTCAAGGCTCTCCTCACTTGAGAACACAGCCTTGCCACCTTACTTTGAGTCAGAGGAGGAGTCTTCCAGGGTACTTTTGTCTCCTCAGCCCTACAGGAAACTGACTGCAGTATAAGGCAAGGCCCTCTAAAAGCCAGCTTCTCTGTGGAGGTGGAGCTTATTGCAGTCAATGTATACAAGTGTCAGGAGCTGGCAGGACAACAGGGAGGAGGAAAAGGATCTCAGCAAGGGACTGGGACACACAGGGGCAAGCAGGGGATGGGGAAGGAAGTACTCACAGGGTAACAAAGGATAGCAAGGAGATGGGGGTCAATGCACAGGAACAAGGGCAGCAGGACCCATCACCAGAGCAGGTCCTGTCTCCATGATCATGGTGGGCTCTGAGGCATAGGGAGCAGCAGGAAGGATGCTCCAGGAAGCAGAGGCAGGCAAAGGCCCACAGGCCAGCTCTCTAGCTGGTCAGGTGGGGCTCGCTAGCCCTGGGAGCAGCTATGTGATTCCTCAGCTGGAGTAGGCTTGGAGCAGGTGAGGGTCCCATGCCTCATCAAGCCCAGATGCTGCAATCAGAATGCAAAGTACAAAAGGGAAGCAGATTCGAGGTGCTTTGTCTATGCAACTATCTATGTCAGGCATGGCCAAAGTTGGCCCTCCAGATGTTTTGAGACTACAATTCCCATCATCCCTGACCACTGGTCCTGTTAGCTAGGGATGAAGGGAGTTGTAGTCCCAAAACATCTGGAGGGCCAAGTTTGGCCATGCCTGGTCTATGTTGATTTACCTTGGCTTGGATGCTCCTGGACCTCTATGGGACTGTGCTGTGCGTTTGACTCTGGACTTATCCTGCCTGCTGGGCTTTGGACTTGGCTACTTGGATTGACCCTGGACTGCATTTCCTGACCTTTGGACTTGACTTGTGTGGAGTGACTGCCAGACATTGAACTTTGGACTTGACATTCTGACTTGCTGCCAGGTAGGCCTTAATAATTCTCCAAGGTGCTGTAGGTAATCTGGGTGCCTCAGTCTTGTGATGGGATGCTGCTTGGCTTTTCATGTAAGCATACAGCTCTTGTAGAACAGGACACCTGCCTTCTGTTTTTTTGGTGCTGCTCAGGTTCCCTGCTGTGGCTATTTACAGGAAGCAATTAATGTTACATCTTGTTTCCTTTCCAGCCTCACTTTTTCTTTGTGATTGGAGAAGTTCAGTGTTTCCAACACACAATATTGCTATCATAAAGTCTCATAACCATCAGGTAATAACTTGTTTGAGCATAAATTGCAGGTGTTTTTACTGAAGGCTTTGCAAAGTCAACTGGGAATCTCAGAATGCGTACCTCCCCTCCCTGTGTCTTTTATTTTTGTGAAGAATTTGCAGAATGTTTACCTTGTAAATGACAAGATTCTTGGTTGGGTCATAGATGTTTGCTGGCCTGAGAAGATATCTTTAAAATAGTCAAGCAAGCAAGCAAGCAAAAACTGTTTTTTTATACTAACAGATATCAAAACACTGCCAAAACAGCAAAATTAGGAATAATTAAAAACCCATTTAGTAGGAATGATATCTAAAAGTTTTAAAACATTGACACAAATTAAATATATTGTAGATCCTCCCCCAAAAAAACACTGAAAGGAAAAAAACACGTTAGAAATAAACCAACAGGGCCTTTTCAGTGGTGGTGCCTTGGCTTTGGAAAATTGTTCCAGCTGAGTTGCATCAGGTCTTCTTTCTAAGCTCCTTTCAAAAGAATCTGAGGCTGTGAAGGCCAGTATGAGGGGACATAGCTTGAGGAGAGGGGCTGTGCCTGGGAGGGGGTGTGGTGTGGGGAGAGTCCCTAGGACCAGTTATAGAGCCTTGGAGGGCAGCATTTGGCTCCTGAGCCTGAGGCTCCCACCCATGTGTCATGGCATTTTCATAGATTCCATGACAGAAAGGAATGAGCAGCATTGCAATATTCTGAGGTTTTAAAAAAAACACTATTTGAAAATGTAGCAATTGGGTGGACTGTATTGCACAGTCCACTAGGAAGGGCAACTCCCAAATGGCAAGGAGCTACACAGGTGCATGGATAACACTTCTGTATTTCTACACCCGGGGACGCGGGTGGCGCTGTGGGTAAAACCTCAGCGCCTAGGACTTGCCGATCGCATGGTCGGCAGTTCGAATCCCCGCGGTGGGGTGAGCTCCCATCTTTCGGTCCCAGTTCCTGCCCACCTAGCAGTTTGAAAGCACGTCAAAGTGCAAGTAGATAAATAGGTACCGCTTTATAGCGGGAAGGTAAACGGCGTTTCCGTGTGCTGCTCTGGTGCCGGTTCGCCGGAGCAGCTTCGTCACGCTGGCCACATGTCTGCGGACAGCGCTGGCTCCCGGCCTCTAGAGTGAGATGAGCTCACAACCCTAGAGTCTGTCAAGACTGGCCCGTATGGGCAGGGGTACCTTTACCTTTACCTATTTCTACACTATGCCATGTGTGATAAGAAAACATGTGCCTATTTTGACACATATCTATTCAATGACACATGTCCGGAAGCTATTGAAAAACTATGGGGTCCCAATGGGTGTATACACAGCTAAATTGGCATGTGTATGCTAATTGCACATAGATAGGTACATGTGATGTTCATGAGATGTTAACCTGAAGGTTAAACCCATTAGGAAATTGTATGTAAAGACTGCCTTAGGGTGAATATAAAAGACTGCTTTCGGGGGCTGACATTTTTATGTGATGAATGGTTATATGAATAGATTTCTCACATGCTTTTCCTTCTTAATTTCCATGTCCAAATATCTTGAATATGTTGACCACCATTAGTAGACAGCCATGATCAGTGCTGAACACTGATCCTTTCCCTCACCCAATTTAGGGAGGGATCAAGTCTTGTGTCTGAAGTAGCTTTGGAGAATCTGAAAGCTTCTGTGGCTCAGACAAATGTTAGGAGACTACTATATCTTCTCCTGAACATGGAGAATGGTAAGGACTATCTCTGACCTCCTACTGGACAATCTGCCCAGATTAAAAGATGGTCTTACCACTGGTGAGCTCACATTTGCAGCTGGGACCCTCAACCATGCTGCCTTTTAAATAAGTTTGCAAAGTTAACAGAAGAGGTGCTAATGATACCTTCCAGCATTGAGCTCAATGGGCTAGTCATGGTTCAAACTCCATTCAGACATATAAATGAATGATGACTCCTTGTATTTCCATTTAACAGTCCTTAATACAATCATGTATAGTTAATGCTTCTTACTTTGTACAGCCAGGTGATTTATGTGCACAGAAAACCATTCCCCCCCCTTATATTGTCATCTGGACACAATATATAGATTTAGGTTCCTTTCGTCTTTCCCTTTAATCTTTTAATCTCTCCTCATAATCTCTTAATATTTGCCAGTGATTAATCTCCCTGTTACAGCACACTCCTTTCTCCCAGCCCTTGAGAAGACAGCTCAGCTCTGTTACTAATATATGGCTTAGTTTATGCTTGTACAGCCATTATAATGAAATATAATCACTATGTTTTTCCTTTGAAAATGGAGGGATTTTCTTCCACTTTGCCTATTCATATTCTCAGCACAGTCACTCAGCCTCTTCTTAGACCTTACAAAAAAAAAAATCAACATAAGCTTTATTTCCTGTCAAATACACCCCTGCCCCCACCTCCAAATCCTGACAGCTGTAATGCTTTCAGACTATTTGGCTGGGTATTCCTAGGCACTTTTTAATAGCTCCCAACCAGTTGATTGTTTTCTGTGCAAAGAACAATGATTCCAAGTATAAAGGGGATTCTAAGCGGAAGGACTGTTTTTCTACCATTGTCATGAAGCGCTGTGGCTTGAGCTACCTGTTTTAAAGCTGACCTTCTATGTATTTCACAGCAGTCTTTGCTAAACTAAACTAGAACAGAAAGGTCCTCTATTTCTGTGGTATTCCTGTGGGATGGGAGGGGATTGTGATGATGAAAAGGTGAAAACACCACAAATTTACTCCCTTTAAAGTCAATCCTGGGTTTTTGTGTGTGAAGTATTATGATGGTGGGCTTTCACTGGCCATCATGAGTACAGTGGTACTTTGGGTTAAGAACTTAATTCGTTCTTAACCTGAAACTGTTCTTAACCTGAGGTACCACTTTAGCTAATGGGGCCTCCCGCTGCTGCCACACAATTTCTGTTCTCATCCTGAAGCAAAGCTCTTAACCTGAGGTACTATTTCTGGGTTAGCGGTGTCTGTAACCTGAAGTGTCTGTAACCTGAGGTACCACTGTATTTAGAGATGAGAAAGGGGAATATATGGCCCCTTCGTGCCCAGGAGAGGATAGTCTAGTTTAGACAGGCTTTTTTCGTTTATAAGAAGAGGTCAGAGCTTTTGTTTCAGTTGAGGAGCAGGGGGACACTACAGGGACTCTGTGATATGCTCCTCAGCATCTTTTTAGTCAGAGGGAAGCAGGGGTAGCTCAGTTGAGCTGGGTCGCTGCTGGAGGGGGCTTGCTTTTACCCTTCAAAGAGCTGAGGCCCCACCACCCTCTGCCATCTGGAGATCCCCTGTTCCCTTAAAAGCCTTCACCCTTTCTACCGTGTTGCCCCATAGGTTGGAATCACACCCCCAAACACCTGTGAATGTTACCTCTCTCACCTCCATAAAGTCCACTTTTCCTGTGGAGTCTTTGACACAATCCCTTCCTTCCTACACCCCAATGTAACTCAGCTTGTAAGTAAGCCTAAGCACTTACAAGTGAAATAACCAGAGTGTTATGATTCCATAGTCCAGCAGTGACCAGGACACCATCAGAGCCAATGTGTCAATGGCTTAGGAACCAGTCTGGGCACCTGGCTCTCAGCCTTATGCCGGTAATCAGGGGAGCCCTGAACCTGAGGCTGGTAGGTAGGCAGGAACCCACTGAACCTGATGGCATGGCGGACTTCCGGTCGGCGCCAGCGCTTAATGGCGGTCCTTGCCTCGAGCTCCGAGGCAGGACTGCTCCGCGGGTTCGGGTCTGACCCGCTACGGCGAGCGGGGGACCCCTAAAATCACAGGCGCAGAAGCCTGTGAGCAAGGAGACTCGGTGGGCACCTTTGCGCCCCCCGGTATCGCGAAAGAGCCTTTTTAAAGGCTCCGGAGCGGCATCGGGAGTGAGCGCGGTGCTGAGAGTCGCAACCCAGCCCGCGGAGTGAAGCCGCATCGCCATAAACGGAGAGCGCCGATTCCTTCCTGAATCTGAAATTCGACCATAATACTCGTGAGTAAGACTGAGAAATTTAAACGGGACATCTAAATTGAGTTTGGAAATTTGGCTGAAAACGGGAAAGGCATAAATCAAGGAAGTCTGCCTCCCCGGACTGCATGAGATTTAAAGCAACGGAAAAGTAGAACTAAGTTGGAGAGCCTACCCTTTTGGGGTGAGTTAAAAAAAAAACATTAACTTCCACGATTTGGTAAAAGAAGTTTTGAGCTGGAGTGTAAGAGTGGATTTTCAGAAGTTTTTCTTTTGCTGCATGTAAACCCCCCCCTCCCGGGCCCGGGAGCGCCCTGTCTTTGAGCCTGTTGAAAAGGAAAGGAGTTTGACAGCTGTCAAAAGCTGTCAAACGGGCAACTTAAAGGGAAAAAGCTTGCTATTTAAGACCTCTCTGGATTAAATGTGATACAATTGAACTTAAGTGGTTGGAAACAAAGAAACAAGTAGTGAAGTAAAAGATTGTTGGGAAAAGACTACTAAGTAACTAGATTCCCCCTAGGGGGAACCTTGAGACATTACAATGGCTGCGGATGGAAATTTACTAGCTGAGATAGAAAGAACATTCTACCTTCTGGGAATCCTACAAGAGCAGAGTCTTGCAATGAATAAACAACTTATGACCTTGACTTCTGGAATAAGTAGCTCTGCTGAATGTAATGAGGAATTGTATGAGAAAAAACCTGCAGCTGAACTGGAAGAGATATTGCAAGAAGTGAAGGAGACAAAACAAGCAAAGGAGAGAGCACAGATGGAAAGTACCAACCAGAAGCCTACACAAGTGGATTACAAACAAAAAGACCTTTGGATTACATGGATTATAAATCTGCAAAAGAAGCGAAAGATGAAGGAGGAAGCCCCTGGAATACTTGGAATTCAAGAACTCAAAAGAAAGAAGAAATATGACTGGGGCCTCCATTCTGACCTCGAATATGAAGGATTGGTGGAACTTTTGCAGCAGTTCTCTTTAAGTGTTTCTGAGGGAATAAAATCTGGCTTGATTGGGACAGAACTCCTTAGAGATCCAAAGACCAACATGAAGGACTACCAACAAATTCGGCAGAGAGGAACGGAAAGAGACTTGAAGGCCTCGGATGTGAGGAATCCAGGCTAAGGACTGTTATTTTGGACATATATTTGGAAGGGACGGAAACCGGGGATGGGAGGGGGGAAAACAGAAATTTTTCTTTTTTAAAAAACAAAAAAACAAAAAAAAACCACTTATGTTTTTTGGGTTCAGTCAATATGTTTATATTTCATAAAAATTGTGAAATCGATGGAAGGGAATTTGAGTTCAACTTAGGATAAGAATTAATTTTTTTATAAAAGATGTAATATTAACATGGTAAGAAGGGAAAATGATAACTTGCTGACACAATTATGGGAATTGGGATGCTTGAAGGGGGGGGTGGGGGGAAGTCAAGGACCGAAGTTAAGAAAGTAAGATCTTTGAAATTATAAATGTTTTTGTCTTTGTCTTTTATGTGTGTGTTATGTCTTTATAAAATGTGAAAAACCAATAAAAAATTTATATATATAAAAAAAGAACCTGATGGCATGGCACCAGGCTCTGTAAAAAATCCCATATACTAACCGGACAGGGAGTTCACCATGAGGGAGGCCATAAAATGCAGGAAGTGCCCATCTTATGGCCAGATTCTGAAAATGTTTCTCACACAGATTATGCATGATGCATGCACTTAAAACTGGGTCTAGGCTAGTGAATGAATACCACTGAATTTGGTACAGCTTGATTTTAAATAAATGTGTTTAGGTTTAGTAATGTTCCTTTCCCCCTGCTGTTCTAGGCACTGATGACTATGAGCCCCAACAAATGCAGGCCACCCAAGTGTCCCTATTTTCCAGGGACTTCCCTGACTTAGAGAAGCCGCCCCGGTTTCTGATTTGATCCCAGAATGTCCTGCTTTTCCTTAGGATGTCCTATTTTCATTGGAGAAATGTTGGAGGGTATGCAAATGCCAACCCAGGCTTGAATGCCATCTTGGCAGGAACCACATGTGGTTTTGAGTCCTGAGTTCTGTGCAGCTATTTGATCACAGAACAGTGCAATGGATATAAGAGAACCCAAGAAAAATGGAAAAGATAACACAGGAGTGAGTGTGTGAGTGCACGGATGACTGCTTGTTGCTGACAAAGATCAAAACCAGAATATTTTTGGACATGAATCAAGGGAAAACAAAGTTTGTTTGTAAAAGAGGATAACTAAAGGAAGCATGCAAGAGAAAGGGTCAAGAGGAAGTTAAAAGAAAGGTGACTTGTGTCTAGGGTTTCTGAGAACCTTGAATTAGCACATTAAGGCTTAATATTAATGCAAAGAGCCATCTGCTTTATGAAACGCATCCTATTGGGCTACATGTTTACAAGCAGTTGAGAAATTCTAGCCAAGTCTGCTAGACTCCAGCTTCCCTCCTTCCCCCTCCCCAGTTCCCGCTTTGCTTTATTTCCAGCTCTCTAGCATCTGGCTTGCTCCATCCTGAGTCTCTTTGTGCTCCTTCAGTTCTGCCTCACCCAACCTGGTGCTCTCCAGATGTTTGGAACTACAATTCCCACCATCCTCTGCTAAGCACAGCACCCAACACACCTGGAGGGCCCCAGGATGGGGAAGGCTACTCCAAATTGTCGCTTATTGTCCTAAAGAACTGGGTTCTCTTATAAGGAGTCAGGCCTCAGTAGCAGGGTATTCCCAGTTGTTGTCCAACCACAGGCAAGGTCAACAAGGGAGCAAGACCTGGATAAGTCCCTGGTGATCTGCTTGCTCCTCATTTATACATGCAGATGTATAAAGGCACTTATGTATGACACCTGGCCCTATAATAATTACTTGGACTCTGGGTGAACTCTGGCTCAAATGAAGCTAAGCAGTATGATATCCAAAGCTGTTCAAACCAATGAGGGCAAACAAAGGCATCGTTAGTGGGTAGCACAGGGTCCTCTGATCTGCTGCCCCTTCCCTTTCTCCCTTTTAAATTTGTTGCTGGGTGGGCAGCAAAGTGCAGTGCTAACGAGAGCCATATTAATTTTCCTAGGGGCATGCTATATATCAATGCAAATGTGTGTTGTGGGTCTTTGCCCAGAATCCTTTAAGTACCTAGCAGTCACCCTGACAGCAAGTCATTTCATTCCTGACAGCTACCTTACTTTCATTGCGTTGAAATAGCCAGTGTTTTTTTTTCTGGGTGATGACAACAACTCCAAATACGAAGATTTTTTAGTCTTCTTTTTTTAATCTGGACTTCTGGCTGCCTGAACTGCTCGGAATCCCAAAGCTGAAATGTTTTGCCAATGTTATAGAATGTTTTGCAAATGTTATGCCACCCTTGGTGTTTTTTAGGTACTCAGATAAGATTAATATAGACTGTGATATTCATTTGCTCTGAATATGTCATTATGCAACCAAATGATATAAAGGTTGTAATGAAAGAAAAACAGCAATGTTTAAGTCCAAATGAGACACATAGCTATTCTGTTTGCAAGGCTCTGTTACTACTTCCATTGGGAATTCTGAATTAGAAAGCTATTTGATTTCCAGCGCACTTGATTTGTATAATGAATCCATGAACATGCATGGGTACATGAATCAAAACAAACCATCTGATTTTAAATTTACATTACCATTCTCTCCCCACACTCCACTTAATTCTCACCTATCATAATACGAAACACCTGAACCTTTAGGAACATAGCTGATGAAATTTACTTTGTATTTTGGGTCAGTATCTTACCTCCTCCGGACTCGCTGGGACATATCCATGTGTGGTTTCCTGAGGGACACAGGCAGTTTGTAGTTCCATTAGTAGATCTGCTGGAATGACAAGCTGCTGTGGTGTCACAGCAGGATTAGTGGCTGCCGCTGCTACTTCCTCTGCTGTCGCTGATGCTTCAGCTCCTGGGTGCAATCCAAAGGTTGCATTCCCATGTTGATTCTTGCCTTACTCCAGTTCCACAGAACCAATTGCTTGTACATCCTCCATTGTGTATATATGGAAATAAGAGGGATTGTGATCCTGTGGGCCTGTGGGCTGACATATGTGAATTTTTAGTAATGTACAGCACGTAGTATACTTCCAGGCACAATTTTGTTTGTTTGTTATCTTATTAAAGCTTTCAGCAGATACTTGAAAACTTTTGCATGAACAGAAAAAATAGTTTTCTGTATCCACCTCTTCCTGCACCCACATCCCTCTGTTCTACTAAGTTCCTCTTCCTCATCAAATCAAACTTTCAATAACATGGATTATAATAACACAAGTATACACACATTCTAAAATATTTTGTACACACACAAGTGTACCCATACCTCTCTGGATTTATCCTCATGGTCAGATATTGAATGATGAAGAAGAGAGATTCATGGATGTTAACACAAAGGAGACTCCTACCTCCTTCTGCATTTCACTTGGTGCAGCTACCTATATACATTGACATTGCCAGCGCCTGACCCTCAGTAAACTCCTGCGCTTTAAATAGCTGCAGAACTCAAAGATGGATGGCAGGTGCAATTTTTTTCAGGACACTGCAGTGTGGCAGAGACCAGGGAAAGGGAGGTCTCTCCCTCTCTCCCTCTCCCCCCATATCTCTCTCTCTCTCTCTCTCTCTCTCTCTCTCTCTCTCTCTCGCCTTTCCTTGCTATTCACATCTGTGAATTGTGAGTATGAATCTGGGAAAAGGGTGCATTTTGGATTTTCCAAAACTGGAGAGCCTACTGACCCAAATTTGGGCAATATTTTTAGACGGATTTTTCAACAAAACCTATATAGGGTGAGGTTTAGGTATAACAGAATATGTATCTATAAGGGCTAGAAAGCATGCATCCAAGTAATTTTCCACTTGTCCCATGCTTTCTAGGCAAGGGTCTGAGTGGTTTTGCCTTCGTCCCACAACTTTCCCATGGAAAACCCTTTCTTTTGTGCTAAATCAGAACAAACAGCAATCTGTGAAAAACCCAATTGCCATTTGTTTTGATTCAGTGCTAAACCATGGGTTTTCCTGGGAGAAAGCGGTGGGGCGAATGGAAGTGTTGACGAGCCCTAAGAAGAGTTCAGTTTTTCTAAAACAGTTTCTTAAATGTAAAACAACTGGTAATATTTCTCTCATAGGCAGAGAAAGTAGATCGCTACTATGTATATCAGATAAACCACACACTAGTACCAAATATGTATTTGTTCATATGCATGTGGTCTGCACAAGAAGAACTAGCCTACCAATGATGTATTGTAGTCTATCTTTTTTTTTTTGGTCAACCCTTTGTTTTTGCAGTTTTAGGCAGGGAAGTTGTTAGGGGGCAGTTCCGGGGGGGGGGGGCTGAGATTTTGGCTCTTTTGCAGCGGTTCTTACATCTTCCACCCATCCCCACTGGTGGGGCAGAGGGCAGGGAGGACCAAACAGTAGGTGGAGCAAGAGGCAATGACAGTCAGAGCCATCTAACTCTATCTTTGTCCTCGGCCTCCTCTCTGTTGAGTTCTACAAGAGCAACATGCCAAACTGTGGTTTAGGACCATGATGATATGCACAAACCTGGGATGTCTGTTCTGTCAGCAGGAGCAGTGTACTCAGTCTTTTAAGCACTGCACATGCCTATTGGATAATGCTGCTTGGAGATAACAGTTTCAATAAGTAATAAAACAAATTAGTCTAATTGTGATGTGGAATTATGAGGCAAATAGGGGGTTGCCAAATTTGTGTTCATCTAAAAATATTAAAGCCGGGATGGAGGGCATCTGCAGAGGAGAACAGGTAGTTGGGAGGTAAACTTTTCCCCACCTAATGATTTCTCATATAACTTCTTCTTTCAAACAGGTCTCCCTGCCATCCCAGTGTTAGCAATTTCACTCCTCCGATGCTGCATTTTGTGATTGGTATAATTCACATGCCTGTCTGAGAAGACTGTGGGAACAGAAGACAGCCTTCTCTCTTTCGTTGTCTGTACTTTTGCTTTTACTTTCTTTTGTTTGTTCTCTGAGAGCTGGAGAGAACATATGCCATTATGCCTTTGTCTGTACATAGTGTGTAAATAAATAGTAGATTAGACTATGATGTTTCACGCTTCTTGCTGTGTTAAGCTAGAAGATTAGTGTGCATAAATCATCTGATTTGTGTCGCTGAGCACACTGGAGAATGGGGGAGATGCCTTTTCCAGGGTTGCGCATACCGGAGGATGCTTGGAGTTCCGGGGGTTTGCAGGCACCCCTAGGCGTTTTCCAACACCCAGTGGGTTGCAAAATTGGAAATAAGCCACCTGATTAAAGAAACAAGACCTTGGGTTGTGGTGAGTGTGGCACATGGAAAAGGTTACCATTAACTGGCGAATACTTACTCGGATACAAGTGTTTCCCAAAATATTGTACCAGTGATATATTAAGATGATCTGGAACAATGGTATAATCAAAATGAAAGAGAAAAAATATAAATGATAAACTCTGGATGTTTTCAAAAACAGATGCTTCATCCATTTGTGTGCTTGAAAACCCACATTGTGGACAAAAGAGGCTTCTCATAATTGTTACAGCATTGGGCCCCTGTGGAGTTACTAAAAATAGAAGATAGAAGAAAAAAGGAAAAAGGAAAAGAAGAGGGCAGAAGGGTGGAACACTGAGTATAGCTGTTCTGTGTCAACTAGAAAAGGAGTTCGATAAAAAATTAGGTCAGGGATAGTCAACGTGATGCTCACTATACGTTGATGGACTATACTCCCAACTCCCAAGAGACTGCGATCTACTCCCAGTATATATAAAAAAAATATGGATGTGATCTACCCATTGTCATTGGAGGGAGGACGAGTGTGTGTGGGATGGGTTGCCCAGAGTTGTTGAGCTTTTTTGGGGAGGGGTCAGCGTTCTTAAGCTTCTTTTAGGGGGGTATGCTGCAGCAACAGTGGAGGCCAGGGGCCGAGCGCCAGCGGCCACGACATTCCTTGTCCACTTTATTTAATCCCGCAATCAACCAGGATCACCCCAGGGATCTACCTGTTGATTGCGGTCAACCGTTTGAACATGTCTGGACTATAGCACCCATTATTTCGGAGCATTGCCCATACTGGCTGGAGCTGATGGGAACTGGAGTCCAAGAACATGTTCCAATGTTCCAACTCAGGACTGAACCCTGGTATCCCAAACAGGCTCTGAGGTAAGTTCTACTGAGCTGGGTTCAAAATAAGCCATGGTAAAGTGAGCCTTGGTTGGATAAACTCATTGGACAACCTCACAAAGGTACAGCACCTTCCCGCTACTTTTTCTCCAGAGATTGGAGAAACTGAAGAATCTAAGTTTTTGCAGGCTGGAGAGATGACACTTTGCTAACTATACCTCCCACTATGATTGATCACAAGAACAGCATGATAGTTTGTTGAAACTTGAACATTTAAAGTTCAAATCAAGCTCCATTGATGAATAATTCACTTGCTAAATGGTTACCAGATGAAACCTTGTCTTTGGTATTGTCGTTTGTAAATTGAATATATTAATTTCCCAAACCTTACTCTATCCTCATAGCAGCCACTAGCATTATATGCCAAATTACTCACATACAGAAATGTGTCTGATTTCAGAGCACTCTGATGAATATTGTAAAAGTCCATGAACAGTCTGATGAATAATCCTATCATAATTAAATACATTTATTCACAGTGTATGATATTGCTGTTCTGAAAACTTCCTACTGTTTCTTCATCTAAACAGAAATTGGCTCCATGTGGTAAGATTATACTGAAGAGAAAAATGTGTTATGATTGCTATTTTACTGGCCAATTTATTTTAATATCTGTCTACATAGGTCTATCTACCAACTGCGGAACCCTAATATAACTTGCTAAGAGACAGCAATTTTCCTTAGGGAAAACCGTGGCATTTCTCCCTTCTCTGAAATAGTTCATTTTATTACTTTTTCCTTTGGAAAATGCTGAGGAAAAAGAATGAGGTTCTGGCTGAAATCTGCAAACCAGTCTGTAGGACTCTGCTTTGACTTCCCATGATAATTTAAAAACAAATATTCTGTTTTCCATTTTAGAATTGGGGATGGCTGGACGTGTCTGGTTGAGAACGCTTGGCATTGTTTTGGCCTATAGGGATGACACTTCGTCTGTTTCAGCGATGAATGCTTATAGAACGTTCAGGTTTGTAAAACTCCAATCTCTTAGGAACCATTGTTACATAGCTGACATTTATGAAGGACACCTGCATTATGTTTGACAATTACAGTAATCTCTGCCACATTTGTCATTCCTGCTTGCATTTAGGTCTGCAGTATAACCAGTGAAATGAGAGAGCATTTTTCTCAACAGCAAGACAAATGTTACAAGTGCTTGGTTTTCAAGTCCTTTTAAGATTTGTTACACAGCATTGGCTACTGGCTTCTTCCTCACTTGATTCAGTGAGACAAGGTAGTGTTTAAAATGGCTGCTTAGAACATACCTGTAAGTCATGGGAACCTTATGGGGAAGATTGCCAGACCACTGACACTCCTGCTAAATGCACTTGGGGGATAAGGGAATAAGTCGTTTATCCTCTCAGGTCAAGGAGTTGGAGCTAACATGGGAATTCAAAACAGTGCTTGGAATGAACTAGTTCAAAAAACTCTGAAATGCATCTGAAAGTAGCCCTCATAATTATCAGAAAACTAAAGGTCAGTTAAGTTCATTTTGGGGTAGAACTTTGAACACTTTGTAGTTCATCTTCACTTTCATCTCCTACCTACCTAACCCCACCCCCACCCCTGCAGCAGAAGGGCTGGACTCTTAGCTTTCTTTAAAATAAAATAAAAAATTGACATTTATAAAGAAAGTTAGAAAGCGAAGCATGGAGGCAGCATTCTAAGATAATGGTCCCCAAACAGGTTCTTGGTAGACCACATAAAGATTTTTCTGCTGGTTGTAGCAATTGTAATGCACTGTGCTGGGTTCTGCATGATCTTTAATTTTATTTTTACAGAAATGTTGTGGACCACTGGAATGAAGTTGGTGGGCCACAGTTTGGGAATCCCTGTTCCAAGGCTTATTAGGCTGATTTGGAGATGCTGTTGTTGCTAAGGAAACTTAGCTACTTAATCACGGTTGCTAAGCAATCGGAAAGAAGGAATGTGAGGCATTTCCTGTATCTTCCCTTTTGAGGAGATTTGTTCTTTTGCAGTGATAAGTACAGGAATACAAAACTAGAATTGGTTGGCTTTTCCTCTCGTTGTCGCTGACTCATCCACTGTTGGCCTCCCTGCCTTGTGCCCTACGAGTCCTAATGGACACCAGCCATCGCTGTAGAAAAGAGAAGCATGATATGACAGGCAAAGTACACCTGTAAAGGTCACCCGCATTGGTGACATTCCTTAGTAGAGTTAAATAGCGTGGGCACAGCACGATCTGAGAAGCTGAAAGAAAGTAAAACGTTGAGAGAGAGAGAGAGAGAGAGAGAGAGAGAGAGAGAATTC